CGCCCAAAATAGATAAACCCGGACTTGAAGGCCTCTTTCAGAAAAAGGAATCGTCTGTGGAGGCGTTACAGACTAACTGGCTCCGACGAACACTTACAGGAATATAAGCGGCAACGAAACGTCTGTAAAAGTGAGGCCTCAGAGCTGCGAAAGAAGTTTGAACTAAACATACTCCGAAATTCGTTGGAGCATCCGAAAATTTTATATGGTTATATACGAAGTACTAAAAGGACTCGGGAGCTAATCCCTGCCCTCAGGGCTGCAGACGGCAAAGTGGAGATTGATGACCAGGTTAAAGCGTCCCTCCTTTCCGACTTCTTTCAGTCCGTCTTCACCCGAGAACCTAATGCTATATTTGCCCATCCATTCATTCGCCAAACAACCTCTCCTCCCAGTACCCTTCCCCATCCTATCCCCTCCGTACCCTCCTTAACCGAGGAACCACTCTTTTCATCTACCATTGTTAGGGCCGAGCTACTCCGGCTGAAACCTGCCAAATCGCCTGACCCAGATAGAATTCCCGCCCTAGCACTTCGCGAACTTGCTAATGAACTGTGTAAACCCTTATCCGCAATATTTCAAATGTCATTTGAAGACGGCGAGCTACCGGAAGAATGGAAGTGCGCACTGATTACTCCGATCCATAAAGGAGGCTCAAGACTTGACTGCGGAAATTATCGTCCTGTCAGTCTTACTTGCATCGCGTGTAAAATAATGGAACGCATTATCAAAAGACACTTGATGAAATACCTGGAACAGAACAAAATATTGTGCGATGCCCAACACGGCTTTCGTCCAGGGCGCTCCTGCCTAACGAGTGTTCTTTACTCACACGAGAAATGGACACGATCTACCGATAAGGGTTTTCCAGTAGATGTCATATTTTTTGACTTCAAGAAGGCCTTTGACAGTGTCTCACACAGGCTTCTTTTGCAAAAGATCTGGGATGTAGGGATTCAAGGGAGAATGTTTAAGTGGATCAGAAGTTTTCTGTCCTCCAGACTACAAAGAGTCGTCGTTAGTAATTCTACGTCGGAATGGGTAAAGGTGGAAAGTGGTGTCCCACAGAGTTCTGTCTTAGGCCCAGTACTCTTCCTGATTTATGTTAATGACTGTATCAGTGAAGTGAATTGCGAGACTCTCATGTTCGCGGATGACATAAAAATATGGAGTGAAGTCAAGTGTGATGATGACGCAGAGAAGTTGCAGTCGAACGTCAACAAACTGTGTGCTTGGTCGAACAGATGGCTTTTGAAGTTTAACGTGTCCAAATGCGTGGTTTTGCACCTGAACACCGGCCGCAATGCCTCTCCCAAACACCAGTACTATATTGACGGGACGAGGTTAGAAACTGTGGAAAGACACAGAGATCTGGGTGTATGGACGACCACAAATCTATCGCCATCAGAACACTGCAGAAAGATGGCCCAGAAGGCAACTAGTACTATACACTGGATCAAACGTGCATTTAAAATATTTCCTCCTGAACTCTTCGAAAGACTCTTTGGTGTCTTTGTAAGACCTCATCTAGAGTATGGAATGCCAGCAGCTTCACCATGGATGAGGAAGGATATCAACTTACTCGAACAGGTGCAACGCAGAGCGACAAAGATGGTCGACGGTCTAAAGCATTTGTCTTGTCAGGAGAGGCTAAATTTGCTTGGCCTATTCCCTCTCTCTTATAGACAAATAAACTGCAGTC